AGTAGCGCTGGAGTCTTCTGCTCATCTTCCATCTGTCACCCCCCCACACACACACCCCTGGTTTGTTTCAGGGTACAGTCTCTCCTCTGGACCTGTTCATCTCCCCCCTAAAAACAAAACTTCCTACAGCCCCCACTTTCTCCCCTCCCCATGTGAACAGAGTTTCAAGTTTGCAACCACCTGGATTGTTTGCTAATTTGCAGGACTCTCGACACCTGCACATTGGTAACTTTTTTTCTTCTACATGTGTTGTCGGCCTGATAACCTCAAAATTTTGAACCTTCAACCCACCACCTCTTTCCATTCTTTTTTATGATTTACCACCTTCTCAGTCCATGAAGGGGTTCAATGATCTAACCACAAAGTCCCTGGGAAGACCCACAAGAAGCCCGGTGCTTTCCGACGTATGTGGAATGCCAGCACTTGGGTCGTGGAGTCAGAGAGATTTACCCTACCAGAGAAGACCACCATGAAGGAAATAGATGGGAAGGAGGAAAATGCTGGGAGTTGTGCGAGGTGAAGCTTAGGAGTGTGAAGATGTGGGTGTAATGGTTTCACTAGATCCAAGATAATGATAAAGGGTGTTTTATTGGGGAACAACTTACACAGAGCAGTAAAGAACCGCCATAGCCTGTCTCTGCCCCTTCAAATCCCACCCGCAACCCAAGAGAGAGAGCTGCAAGCTTTCCTCTTTCAGCTTCCCTCTAGAAGGTTCACAGGCAAGATGCTGCTACGGGGTGGAGATAACCAAAGGCCAAAGTGGAGAGCCCAGGGACCCAGGTGGTCCCCAACAGATGGTGCCCTCTAGTCTATGCTACCCAGCCCAGTGATAGTGAGGGGGGAGGGTATTAGTGGTGTAAAAGGTGGTCCAGAAGCTCTGGAAAGCTGATTTCACAGATACCACCTGTGGGATTCTGATAAATCAACATACCTCCCTCAGTAGCATCGCCCACTCTGAGACTACAGGGGAATTTTCTGCCCCCCAAAGCCCCCTTTCCATCCTATAAAAGCCCAGGCACCCCCTCCATGTACACACAGTTTTACTTCTGCCGGAAGCCTGAGGTCCTTCAGTCGATTAAAGAACAATCTGTTTCTGGAGATGCCTCTCTGCTTTCTTTTATTTCCACACTGCCTCCATCTAACGGCATCCAGCAAGAAGAGGCAGAGATGCCACTGAAATGCTGCAATGCTCAGGACATTTCTGTGTCTAAAGGAGATCCATCTTGGAATGCCCAAGACGAAGGATGGTCAGAAGCGGCTAGTTCTCTAGGCAGTTCAGTGATGCGACCATGCAGTCCTCTGTGACGTGATGTGGCTGAGCCTTCCCTGACGAAGACCCACGTGCTCAAGGCCTGGGCTCTGACCTGGGACACTTTTGAGAGGTAATGGAGCCTTTAGAATGTGGAACCTAATGGAAGTCAGGTTACGGAGGGGGGGGCATGCTCTTGAAGGGTGTTTTAGGACGCTGGCTTCTAGTCTCTCTCCTTGCCTCCCAGCTACCATGAGGTTAACATTCATCTCTACTAATCTCCTGCATTGATGTTCTCCTCCCACAGGCTCAAAAGCAACAAGGCCAGCTGACCATGGACTGAACGTTCTGAAAGTATGAACCCAAACAAACCTTCCCTCCTTATAAGTAAATTCATCTCAGGTATTTTGTCCTGGTAATAGAAAGCTGGCTAATACTTTCCAGTATTGGAAACACTTGGGAACTGCTGTCTCAAGTTAAATGCAGCTATTCCCAGGATGCTCCTGGGGGCTGAGACAGTGAGAGTCTCACCCTAGGAATCATAGGGCCACGAAAAGCCCGAAGCTGACATCCAGGGTTAGCTCCAGCTCCTCCAGCCACAGTAAGTGATCCAGGCAGATAAGACAATCTCCAGAGCTGCCCTCCCAGCTCTAGAAAAAAGAGAAATGGGCACTGCTGTCTTCAGCCTGTGTGCCAAGACGACCAAAGAAAGGCCATTCCTGTTCACTTGGCAAAGAGAAATGGGGTAGAAAGAGGAGGTATTACAGTGCCATGAAGAACATCCTTTTTTTTTTTAAGCATAATGCAATGTGTGTACTGATTTGTGATTTGTGTAAAGTGGGAGATATAGTTGAGGGGACAATAAAGCTCCCCCATAATTTCACTAACCAGAAATAACTCTTAACAATTAGACTTTTCTCTTTGATTTTACAGGCACTACATAGGTGTATGTGGTATTTTTTCATTTTAAAAAGGAATCATCACTCCTCAGCCTTTTGGCTGGGACCAAGTTACACTCTTCGATGTGGGAGTGGGTGTGTCTCTGGCTCTGCCTGCTCTTGGTACTCTTTTCCTCCTATTGGGTTGCCTTGTCCAGCATCGAACGATATGAGGGCTTTACCTTGTCTTATTGTATCTGGTTTTGTCATGTTGGGTTGTTGTCTCTTGGAGGCCTGCTCCTTTTTGACGGGAAATGGAGAGGGAGTGGGGGAGTCATAGGGCCATGACGGGGAGGGGCAGGGGAGCTGGGGGGAGCGAAGGCAAGAGAGACACTGGCTGATGTGTGGTGTGTGAGAAAAATCAATTTTCAATAAAAATATACTCTGTCCTTATCCGTTTAAAAATGGAATCATGTAGACAGATAATGATGGCATGCACCTATAGACCCCAATACTTGGGAAGTTGAGGCAGGAAGATCACTTGAGTTTAAATCCAAGCTGGACAACAGAACAAGGCTTTGTCTTCCAAGAAAAACAAAACAATTTTTAAAAATGAGATCATACTTTCTCCACAAATGTGTATTCCAAATACCATTTCTTTTCTACCAAAATATTTCCATGCCTATAATTTTAATTAACTGTGTGGTGATGGCAAATCTTGGTTGTCAACTTGAGACCGCTAGGAAGAGGGACTCTGGGTTGAGGAACTGCTTCTATCAGATTAGCCTGTGGATTTGTCCCTGGGGTATTCTTTGATTGGTAACCGATGGAGGATTGTCAGGTCCACTGAGGGCCGAGTCACCTCAGGGCAGGAGGTACTGAGTTCTATAAGGATGGCATCTGAACAGAAACAGAGAGCAAGCCAGTAAGCAGTGTTCCTCCACAGTTGCTGCTTCGAGTTCTGCCCTGCTGGAGCTCCCTCCTCCTCCGATTTCTCCCAGTAATGGACTGTAACCTGTAAGATGAGACAGCCCTCCCCCACAGGGTGTGGTGTTTCTGGCCAGTGTTTATCACAGCAAAAGAAAAGCACACTAGAACACAGTGTTTGAGGTTGGCCAACTGTTGGGTCCTTGCAAATTTTCCCCATTTACAAAGCTTCCTGGGAGCTGCATCTCTTTGTTGGTTTTGACTCAGTTACAGTGAGGGCTGTGGTGCTGGGGACCACCCTATGGCAGGCACCTGCTCAGGCAGCCTGACCGTATCCCAGGGCATCCTGGGAGGCAAGGATAATACCACTCCCCACCTGAACAAAAGGGAGGCTGCATCTTCGCCATGGTCACTCAGATTCCTGCTGAGACAGTAGGGAAGGCAGCAAATGGCCTACTCAATGAAAGATCTGACAGATGTTAGAACTGCCACACTTGTCCCCTAGAAGTCACCTCAGCAGTCCCAGCAGAGGGAGCTTCCCTGGACAACCAGCCTTTACCAGGAAGGCCCCTGCTAACCTATTGATGGTGTTAGGGGGACACAACACCCTGCCCACCCTGGTTCTCTTTCCTTTGCATTCTAGTGGCTTGGGATGTGCGTAGAGGCTCATCTATGGTGGCCTCACAATAAGGGACTGTGACAGTTGTAGTTTCTTTTCTCAGAGACCAATTCATAAGGTAAAGTCCACTTTGCAAAACTATGTGGAGGAACAAATCCCCAGAAGTCAGCTAAATGCCCCAAACAGGATAGAACTATCCATGCTATGACATGAAAACCATACAACCTCATCTAAAATTCTCACAAGGTAATGATAAGTGAGGAGGCTGCTTGGAAGATGAAGCACAATTGTGTTGAAGGAGAGCTTGCCTATTCGGGGCTTGCACAAGTGAGGGTCACCTCTTCCATGTTTGCAATGGAGTCATCGCTTTCATAGTAACTATTCCTATAGTGTATGTGTGTGTGTATGTGTGAATGTATATTAGGACGTAAGCTCTAGGTCCCCTTTCTGCACTGTGGGGTGCTGGTAGGTGAGTCAGGGGTTAGCAAAGCTGGCTCTCAGTAGAGTAGGTGATGGGAGTCACAGCAAAAGACTCTGCACTTCCAAAAGTTGGCTTTTGTGCTATCCTTGGGGACTGACTGACATCCTCCAGACTGGAATTCTCTTACGGTTCTGAGATGACACAGAGGAGGGTCCATGGCACCCACCATAGCTTCTCAGAGGAAAGACCTGATTTCCTCAGGATCCTGTGGTGTCAATTAAGAAAGGGACTTCTCTGAGGGTGGCAGGCTGCATACATACTGACCTCTTGGCTGAACACCCCCTAGGCTCCAGAACTTCCCCACTCATTTGGACACCTGTCTAGAGGCTCGGGGTCTGAAGAAGCTCTCTGAGGCACCTTCTCTTTGGCAGCTCTGTGGTTTTAAGGCCAGCTGGGTGAGCCAAACCTTCCTCCCTCTGCTCCAGCTTGATTTGGCAGTTCGGAAGGGAGACAGGAGCTCTGGCCTCTAGGCCCTGCTCAGAGCCCAGCCCGTCTTGCAGCTGTGAGGTGGTTTGGGGCCATGTGGGGCATTGAGGTCCTGGAGAGCACCGTGCTTTCACAGCCTCCCTCCTCCTGTCCCTCTGGGTCTCTGTGGCACCCACCCTGGCCCCAAGCTTGTTCCTTCCTTTTACTCCACACTTGGTTGCTCTCCCGCTGAGTAGCAACCAGCCTCTTGGGCTGTTCTCGTGCTTAATCTCTCCTCTCAAGCATCTTCATTCCTCCCTTCCTTCCTGTGGTGATATTTATGATTTATTAAAGCTTGCCTGAAGATTCAGAAAGCAAAGTCAGTCACAAGTCATTGAAGTCCATCAATGGTGATACAAACCTTTAATTCTAGCAGCCAGAAGCTAGGAGGTTGTGGTACATATCCTAGGACTCAGGATTAAGAGGTAGATCTCTGTGAGTCCAGGGTCACCCAGATCCGCACAAGATTGCTCATACAAAGATGCTCTCAATACCTGGGATCACACACCTTTAATCCCAGCACTAGAGGAGTATAAAAGATAGGAGCAGGGTCTTCAGAAGTCGGTATCCGGGATTCATTCTCCAGCCACAATGAGGATAGGAAGACATTGGAGTCTCAGGATTCTCCAGTCACAATGAGGAAAGGTTACAATCTTGATGGAGCCAGGATGGCCTTTCATTCTGAAGTAGAGTAAGAGCTAGTGACCAGCTGCTTTGCTTTTGTGATCTTCATCTTGAAGTCTGAACCCCAATATCAGTCTCTGGGTCTTTTGTTTTTCATGCAACACCTCCCTTCCTTTTCTCCTTCCTTCATTTCTCTCTTTTTTTTTTTCAATGCGTGTTTGGATGTTTTTCCTGCATGTGTGTCTGGGCACCATGTGCATGCCTGGTGTCTGAAGAGACCAGAAGAGGGCATTGGATGTCCTAGAACTAGAGTTACAGACAGTTGAGAGCTTCCGTGTGGATTCTGGTGTTGGACCTGGTCCTCTGGGAGGGCAGCCAGTGCTCTCAACCTCTGACCATCTCCCCAGCCCCAAGTCTCTCTGTCTCTTTTCTCACTGTGCTCTGGACAACCACACCTTATCCTTTCTCACTCTTACCACATCCTCTAGGAGCCCAAGTCCAGCCAAGGCCAACCTAGAGCTGTGTCGGAGCCCAGGTCCAACCAAGGCCAACCTAGAGCTGTGTCCCGCGTTCCAGACTGCTCAAGCCTCTCCTGTCACTGAGGCTGCACCCGTGTCTCCACCTTCCACTCTGCCCATCATGCTAAAGCCCCCAAGGCCCTGCCAGGCTTCCAATAGATTCCAGGACATACAAAGTAGATCCACACTGGGCCTCAGAGAAGAAGCAGGCTGCCACATAAATTCTGTGGGTTTTCTGCACAGACCTTACCCAGGCTGGGTTAAGTACTCCGGGCTGAGTCCTTCCTTCCCTGGAGAAAGACTGTCTGGGGAAGAACAGGAGAGAGAAAAGACTCAAGACAGGGGAGGAAGAGGAGTGAGGCAGAGGAAGGGCAGAAGGAGAAAGGTACATCCGTTCTGAGGTACCTGTAGCCCAGCCCCTGTTAGAGAGAAGTGTGTTCATTTCTTCTGTGTAGTTGAGACCACACCATCTGACACACACACACACACACACACTTATGGAAGGACAAGTTTGTTTGAACTCACATTTCCAAGTAGTTGTGTCTCTGCCATGACTGGGGGGAGGCTGTGGAGGGGCCCTTCCCCTCTTTCCCTCTTCCCAGGGGAACCTGGAAACAGAGAGAGGGGAGTGCAAGCATCAAAGGCTCTACTAGCACTTCACAAACCAGGCCTGCCTCCTGTGGGTTAATAACCCCCCAAACAGCGTCACCAATCAGTGACTATACCTTCAAAACAGAAACCTGTGGGGGACATTTCCCGAGCCATAACAGGAGGAAAATGTCCTGCACCCAAGTGTGTCCCACGTCCGGGTCTCACTCTGGTTCCGAATGGTGTCACCATTTGGGTGGAAGTGGGAAAGAGAGACCCAGGCCGAGACACTACTGGCCCAAGCAGGAAAGGCTACCACACCCAGGGCCTCAGGAACTTAGGCCCGGGCTGTGGAGCACATGTGTGTGTGTGTGTTATTCTTCCCACAAGCCAGAAATATGCGCCGTTTGGAAACAGTTGGCTCCACAGCTGTTTGAAAAATCCCCTGGTACTTGGAGACAAATGATCCAAGCCAGGCTGGCCACACCGGTCACTTTTGGAGCCAGGGAGAGGCGTGGGTGATGTAGGCCTGCCCCACTGTGTCCTCGGCCATCCGTCACTGCTCAGCAAAACTCCCGAGGGGCCACCGGACTCTGACAATATTGTTTACGTTAGAACATGATTGCGAAACTTCCGGGAAAAAGAAGGAAGGCAAAAACTTGCACTGGGGCCTGAGAGCCGCCTCGCCCACGCGGAGACAGAAAGACTCCAAGGCCTGTCTCTCGTGGGTGGAGCTGGTTTGCTGCCCAGAGGAGACTGAAGGCATTCTCTAACCAGAGCCACTTGGTAGAGAAGGGCTAACCTACATGGACCCATACTCCTGTCACCCTGCAGCTTCTACCAGGTTCCACATATTCTCCTGTCACTGGTCTGACTGACAGGAAAATGATGTCATTTTTACCTGGCTCTCACCACTCAGAAACCTTTGCTCTGCCATGGGTCCTAGGAAGGTAAAGGAGAGGGAGCATTTGGGGACCCCGAAACTCAGACAAAGAGTAGACACTGAGGCCACAGATTGAAGGGCATGTCCAGCTGCTACAGCTGGCAAGCTTGGCTAAAGTGGGAGCCTGTTCTGTGTCATCTGGAGAGAGGCTACAAATTATGTGTGTTTTGCCCCGACACACCCCATTAAATGTTCCTGGAACCCAAATTCAAAAAGGATGAAATAAGCCACTTTGAGTTCCAGGGAGGAGAAGGATGCTCTGGAGGGGTCCGAGTACACTGAGAGTCTTCATCAGGGTGCCTCTCCTTCCATCTCAGCCACCCTCTGGCATACCCTGGCTGTGTGGGGTGCTGTGATCCCCCTCATCCTCTTATGGTGCATCTAGGCATGAGTTTGTCCTTGGACCTTCAGGAAGTGGGAGAAGAGAGGTGGCCTCAGTGGTGTAACTGCTGCCTACCTTGGTGGGGGAAGGAAAAGCTTTGGGAGGTGCTGAGCCAGGGCAGGCTGATTTCCGGAGAGCTCGCCACTCCGAGTAAGACAGACACAAATGTGAGATGCACTGCAGCTGTCCTAACAACTCAGTCAGTCCTTTCCACGGACCCCCAGCGGGAGTGTCAGAACCATGCCAGGTCTATGCCACTCATCTAGCACTCAGGACACTGAAGCAGGAAGATCTCTAGTCAAGATCAATCAGGTTGCACACTGAGACCTTGCCTTACAACGACGACAATCAATAGACTCACTGCCCCACGTGGCAGATGAAGAATAAACCGGCTCCCTGATGCCCACCCATAGCAGGGAGGTGCTAGGGCTGGGATATGAACCCACAATCTGGCTCCTGTGTCCCTGCCTATGAGAGTGTTGTTGTCTCTTTGATATCAGTTTCAGCCCAACAGGTGTCCGGTGAACTACCCCAAGCCCTCTCCTTGGCTCTTGCTCCCCTAGAAGTCTCCCAGGACCAAGCTCTCTTCCTAGGTCCAGATCAGAGCCAAGCTGCCTCCATACTCTAGCCCAGGTAGAGCCTAGTATCACCCCAGAGTTGGTTTCCTGAGGCATCCTTCCCCTGATAGCTCAACATTACACAAAGCCTGAATGCCCTTGAAAAGGCAGCACAGAGAAGTATGCCCAGGGCCTTTCTCCTCACAGGCCAGACCAGGCTGGCCAACTAATGTTTTAATGGCATTCCTGGACACTGAAACCATTCCTTAAAGGGACTCACTCTCCCTGTCCCTGGAGCACAGGGTTCCACAGAGTCTCTGAGCAAGGAGTAGGGCTGGGTGGGGGATACCCACCCCTCCCAGCTTGTCTAGAGATCATATATACTCTCCTTGGCTTGCCTAAGAATTTCTCTCTTTCATCTCTGAGACCAGATCTGTTCTTTCTTGGAATTCTTAAAAGAGACCTTTTTCATGCAAACTCCCTTCACTGTTCCTGAACAGCTCCACAGGACTGACAGGTCCAGAGCAGAGCCTCCATCTCTCCCCGGCTCCTACCAGCCTCTTTTGCTCACTGAATGCAGCCCGTGTGCCTCCTCTGATGATCCACTGATGAGCCAAGTCTTCACAGCTCACCCTCGCCTGCATCCCCGTTCCCCCAGTGGAAGTGTCTCCCCTCCCTTCAGCCTCTACCTCAGATCCCCTCTGACCTCAATGGAGGTCATGGTAGCTGGAGTACACCAATGGTACCCTGGAAAAGTGGCTTTGGAGCTAAATAAATCCAAGTTTAATCTCCTCTCGGTTCAAACCGGTTTCCTCGTCTCCAAAGATGGAGTGAAGAGCCATCTCTGGGGCTGATGTGGGAAGCAGCCACAGCACAAGGTGAACACTTGGCAGCCCACATGCAGTAGCTCCGCTGGGCCATGCTCCCTTGTTCTTGCTTTCATGTTCTGAGCGCCAATTAACTGAAGTGCTGGCTGCACGAGCCTGGTCAGAGAGCAATGTTCAGGTCACCTGTGAGCCACCATGTGCTTGGGACGGAAATGTAGGAGAGCATGCAGCTGCAAGCAGGTCAGGTTGCAATCCCATTTTTTTTGTAAAATAAATAAATAAATAAAATACATATAATATATTTATATAATTAGAAAACATTTGCTAGCATGTTAAGAACCTTGGGGTTATGATTTTGTTGTATATTTATCTCCTTTTTTTAATCCAAAAATGAACATGCTCTGAGTACCAATAAGGGAAAAAACTAAACCACATGTTGCAGAAATCTGTGTGCAATATGGGCCTTAAATTCAAAGCACCATCTGGGATTTGCGTGTCAAAGAACCATGGTTTACAACTGCAGATGGCTACAGCCTCCATGTGGAAAAACTTAGGGCAGCCGAGTATGTCCCCACCTTGGGAAAGTCCCTTGTAGAGAGAAGGCGGTGCCACTTCCAAATGAGCAGGCTCCTTTGGATCCTCTCCACGACAGAGGGATTTTCTTACACAGATACATCGTTCCTAAGTTGTTCGTTGGATGTGTGGTACTCTGGTTTAGTTTTAGAGACCATGTTTCACGTTCTTTAGGCATTACAGAACACCACAGGGAACCTTCCACAAACAAATTTCTGCAATTCAAATTCTTCCTTATCATCTTCCTCTACCGTGAGTTCGCACATTCATTGACTTTCTTCTAGCAAGAAAAGTCTCTGCTCACTAACAGAAACTGGTTCTGCCCAGACAAATGCCACCACATTGATTCCAGGGTGAAACTGGTGCAGTGGCCTCCTCCTTTGGCATCGTGTTCTGGAATGCACCACGGCAAGGAGGTGATGACACTGCTGTGTCTATGAAAAGCAGTTGAAGCAATTTTATGGGGTAGTTGCTCATCAGGCCACTCAGAGGCAAAGCCATAGACAAAGTTAACTCTTGGCATCCTGTCTGGTTGTGCAAACCTGTCAGATACATTGTACAGATGTATTCATTCTGTTATTGTGGCTTCTTATATTTCCATGAAGAAGACATTGGAGACTTAGCCTAAATCGTTGTAATATAAAAATCAGCCAATCTGAGGTACCAAAGTCCAAGTAAGATTTATGAGTCACTGCAACTGTAAGAGGCAAAATGAGGCCAGTTGTGGTGGAGGCTCGGAAGCTAAAGCAAGCTCGGGGCCTGCCTCTACCACAAAGGGAGTTTAAGACCAGCCTGGGAGAGTTGGTGAGTGACTGTCTAAAAATAAAAAATACAAAAAGGCTGAGGATTATCTCAGTGGTAGACCTCTCTAACACGTAAAAACTTTCACTTTCCATCCCCAGTGACAGAAGAAAAGAGGAGAGGAAGGAAGAGAAAACGGAGGGAGGGAGGGAGGGAGGGAAGGAGGGAGGGAGGAGGGAGGGAGGGAAGGAGGGAGGGAGGAGGAAGGGAGGGAGGGAGGACCAACAAGCAAGCACGCCATCCCCAAACTATGAATATCTAAAAAGACAGATCTGGAACCAGTGTGACCTCTAGTGATCTAAAGGGATGACACCAACTGGAAAGCTAAGCAATAGTGGAGAGACCACCTTAAATGCCCATTCCTGATAATGAACTTAACATCTACCCTATGTGCCATCCTAGAACCTTCATCCAGTGACCTATGGAAGCAGAGGCAAACACCCACAGTTAAACACTGAACTGAACCCATGGAATCCAGTGACAGGGAGAGAGGAGCAATGAGCAAATTGGCAAAGAATGGGCTGGCAAAACCAGCAGAGACAGCTGATCTGAACAAGGGGGAGCTCTTGGACCCCAGACCGACAGCTGTGAGGCCAGCATGGGACTGATCCAGAGCCCCTGAGTGTGAGAGTCAGTGAGGAGGCCTGGGCAACCTATGGGGCCCTGGGAAGTAGATCAGTGTCTATCCCTGACAAAAAAAAATGGACTTCATGTGTCCATAACACAAAGAGGGATGCTCTCTCAGCCTGGACTCTTAGGAGAGTGCCTGGACCCTGCCCTGAGTGAAATGACAGACTCTGGATATCTCCTGTGTGGAAGGAAGTGGGGATAGGGTGGGAGGCTGGGAGAGATGGTGAGGGGAGGCAGAGGGAACTGGGATTGACATGTGAAGAAAGCTATTTAAAATTAAAGTAATAAAAAATAAAACCTATTCACAAATTAAACATTTCTAGTGCAAAGTAGTTTATTTTAAAGATTAGCTAAGTCAATCTCAAATTACATACAGCCCTGTGATTCTGCATCCTCTAACATTTCATTCTTCCTTTAATGGTCTCAAGATGGCTGCAACAGTTTAGAGTCATCACATTCTTAAGGAGAAGCATCCAGAAACCTATTGTTAAATCAGTGCCCGATGAGAAGAATAGTCTGGGGTTGAAGTGGTACCCTCCCTCATTCACAACAATAACCTTCATAGTTAAATAAACTCGGGATTTGATGAGAAGGAGAAGGAGGAGGCTAGATGGTGG